CTACTACTACTACTATTACTACTATGACGACGACTACTACTACTACTTCTACTACTACTACTACTACTACTGTGGGGACCTCGTTTTATACTTGATTTTCGGTTGGCAGTCTGCAACATGTGGGGCTCAATTTTTGCTTTGGATTCGTGGTTGGAAGCCTGAAAAATGCGGGACGTTACTTTGAATTTTTGCTTTTTTCTGCAATCAGAACCTTCTGGGATATCGGGCCCTGACTAAGCCTGCCTGTGAACCCCTACCAGCGAACACACATTTTTGCCTCTGCACACAATCACAAGGCAAGCGTCCAGATTCACATAGATACCGCGAAAAGCCTTGAAAAAGGACCCCCCCTCGTGGACTCTCTACCCAAACCTGCATGTGCGGCACGATGCAACGTACATGAAAATGCGGCGTAGCGGACGAGACGCGGACCTGCTACCATTGCTGCTGCTGCTGACGCTGCTGCTGCTGCTGCTACTACTACTACTACTACTGCTACTATTACTGCTCCTTCTACGACAACCTGTAGTCCACATAGCAGTTGTCGCAGCAGCAGAAGCAGTAGCAGTAGCGGAGAAGAGTTGCAGTGGAGTGTTCATTGCCCTTTAGAGCATTGCAGCGACGAACGCTTAGATCGCTCTGTTGCAGGCTGTGGTGCATTTTTGAACTGGCCGCGTTTCGCTCTGCGAACCCTGCCGGCATCATCACGCTCGCTCCGCTTTGCTTGGAGGCGATAGGATCCAATGATGAACTCAAGCTCCACTACCTGTCTGTGAACACCCCCCCAGCATCTTGAGAAGCAGATCAGAACGTGCTCTGTAATCTAAGGTACAGGCAATCGCAGTCAAAACCGTAAAAGCAGTCTGTTAAGCTTCGGAATTCCAACACAGTTTCATTGAAGCAGGAGTGTCGCAGACAGGTCGTCGTCGCGCATGCAATCTGTGATTAAAAGGGATTATAACATGAACTGGGGTCTCACGATTCACGCCTGCAGGGCACACATCTGACGAGCGAGTAGGGGTTTGCGTAGGCTACTGTTGGCAGGCCGCAGTGGCTGCATTCTGGCTCGGTGGCTATGCAACTATGTGTGTTTTCCTGGCAGTCCTGGGATTGACAGGGTCGTACAGCATCTTGGCTCTGATCCCAGCCTTGCTGCCACTCTTCCTGGTCCTTCACTGCTTGCGGAGGACTTTAAGTATGAAGCAGCAACTCTTCGCTGACCTTGAAGGCTTTGACCTTGACAAAGCGTATTGCCGAAAAGAGTCTGACCGGGATTTTGTGCTCAAGGCCATCATTGAATGGTATGGCAGCCTTGAGAGCTTCACCGCTTATGTGCGAGGTCCTCTTCAGCAGGAGCTCCAGGCCATGCATTCCACCACCCGGCTGCCACTTCATTACAGCTTCCTGATCGTAACCCCCGTGGTGAGTTTTGGCTTGGATGCCCTGCTGGCACTTTGGCTTGCCGGTGCCCCGACGCAGATTGTGCTATCCTATGGCATCGGAGTGGTGCTTGGCCTGTGCACTTGCTGGGCGATGATTGCAGTTCACTTGAGTACTCTGCTTTGCAGCTACTCCATCAGTACGAACTCAAGCATTATGGGCTGGATGCAGTCGTTGATTGTATTCCTGATATTTGGGGCTGTTACCTTTGCCGGAGTGAAGGTTGGTGCATTGGCTTACACAAACAGCCTTGAGGCATCTTGCATATGGCTCGCTGGGGCGGTCTGTCTGCTTTGGCTCGTGCAAGGTGGGCTTCAGCACCTCCAAGCCTTATTCAAGCAATGCAAGCACCGCACGGATGCTTAATCTTTTAAACTGCTGGGAGTTGAGACCCCAGTGAAAGTAGAGGGTTTTTTTTTGGCAGATGTGGCTTAAATGACACCGCGGCATTTGTGCGCAAGCATGGACGAGCAAGTGACGACCAATGATGTGAGCTAAGAGAGACATGAAGACTGTCAGTTCTGGTCGTTCATGCTTATTTCTAACTTGTTTTGCAAGAGCAAAATGCCTACATTCGGACAGCTGAGCTGTGTTTCTGTGGCCAACGGCCTCTTTCCTTTGCGCAAGCCTGCCTTGGCATTGCATGTCCATTCTTTCCCTCTAAATGAGTATAAACAATTTAAACACTTCGGAAGAATAGACCCATGATCTGAGCACGACAGGGCTTGTTAAACGAGCGACTCCGCGCCTGGTGGATGCCTTGTGTTGTTTGGAAGGGCCCTTGAAGTAACAAAGAATCGCAGTGGTGCTTGAGCTTCTGACTCGACTTGGACTTTGGAATTTCCGGGACTTGTTAAACCGTACCGCTACCCCACTCAAAGCAGAGGATCTATTTCATGGTCATACATGGTCAAGCAGAGGATCTGTTAGATGGTCTGGCATTCCTTCTTGCGACAGTCCGCTTGAGCAGCCTTTAGCAATGACATCAAAGAAGGGAGGGGATAAGAACGTGTAGGCAGAAGCATTCTTTAAAAACAGGCGCGCAATGTTTGTTGAGTACTGACTCAGCATCAAGACTTGTTGTGTTTACCCAATTTCTATTCGCGTGTGCGCCTGATTGAATCTAGTCGGGCTTTGGGTGGTTGTTCGATTGGAACTAACCCCATCAGTTTGTCTGAGCATTTGCTAGTGTGTTGGAAAACAGTGCGCCAACAGCAAGCCAGCTAGGCAGCAACACCAAAGAGCTAGTGCCAACTCACAAGAAAACGTGCTGAGATTATAAGCGTTGGAACGTGTGCGTGGAGTTCATTGCCGGCCCTTGAAGCGCCTTTGCCACTTCAAGTGGATGGCGCTGATGTAAATTCCAAATGAGCTTCAGACGACGGGCCCACAAGTCAATTCCGCAAGCCGTGAGCACATGTGCATCACAGACTTAGAGCAACCGTGTGCAACAGCCACGTTTGCAAGCAACAAACAATCAAAGACAGCTTAGGGCACTCAGGATTCATGGGTGGATGTGTTGCGATCATTTTTTTGAAGCAAGCTGCCGTAGATGCCCGGTAGCTTTCATGGCAATGCAGCACAACCAGGGTGCTTCTGGAGGAAGGGGAACATGGTCAGAAAGGCAGTGTGTGTGGCATTAGTTAAGGGTACATGATCCCCAGCCATCCCAAGCCCTGCGCCAATGGCAAAGATCACGGTGGTGGGCCTAGCTTCGTTGGTGATGCATCGTGGGCACAGCAAAAATTGTCCGAACAAGGTCCTGCCAGACAGCGAAAGCTTGGGAGTTGTGGATGTGCCAGTCTGAGCACCGATTTGTTCTGCGTGAGGCTGAGTGAACCTGAAAGCTCTCAAGCGGGCAAGGTCCAGCAGCTTATGGAGAGCCGCGGGCCTCTGCCGCAAACTTGTACGTTGCTGCTAATGCCCTGCATGATGTTCGATGACAACCCTCACGGTTGCGCAGAATCTGCAGCCGTTATGCCAGCCAGTCTCAGGTTAGGACCATTCTTGTAGTATAGTCCCCAGTAGTACAGTAGTCATATACTAGTTTCCATTTTCTTTGCTATGCCTGCATTGCCTACTAACTACAAGCAAGCATTTGGGCCATGATGGGAAGCCGCCGGTTTGAATTGGGCCGAGCCGCCCTGACATGACGCATCTCAGTTGAAGATAAATGTCTTTCTGTGATGTCTGCGTGCTTGCTATGGTGAAATCATGGGACACCCGCTTTGTTGGTTGGGCTGATAATGATAGAGGTGGCTCTCCACTCAAATACTTTCATGTGGAATTCGCGTTAGGGCAACCGATCCCCAAATGCAAAGCGGCCGTTACCCCGTATGCATGTTTGTGTCAGTATTTGCAACTGTTAGCGCTCTAACTGCAGAGGCCCAAAACCCAACGCTGAAGGCGCCACAATGGCGACCGATAAGACATTCCAAGAGCAAGTCACAAGAAGAATGGCGCCGTAGTGAAAAACAACGCCGAGTGAGTAGGGGAAGCAAAAGGCTTCCCGGCCGCATGCTCTCCCAGCCCAGAACATCCACCCGAGAACTGCCAGAGGCCCGACACGAGTGCAGAAGCTTCCTGAAGACTTCGTCACTTCGGCACCGCGCAAACTGACACCTAAACCCCCTTAAGACATTTCAGGAAGAATCAGGCGTGAGTTCTCCTTCTCAAGTTTGCGTATGTCCTCTATTGCCCCTCTAGCCGTTCTACTGCCTCAGCATCATCATTTTTTTCGTGCTGCTCTCTTCAGGGATCTTCCAGTGCCCGGTGAGACAGCACCGTGGGCCGTTCATGATTCCTTTCGATCAGGTGGGAAAAGTGCAGGGTTTGACGATCTTGTTCGAGCTGCCCAAGTTCTCTAGGGTCTTTGTTAGCAGGCTTGCGAGATGAAGATGTCCCAAGGCACTTGTGTAGACGCGGAGATTCAGTTTCCAAACTGCTCCTGTGCTTGAGAACTTGGAAAGGCCTGGTCCTTCCATATCTGCGACGCAGAAGACGGGTCCTGCGAGCAAGGCGCAGCAGGCAGCGCCAGCCGAAGCCGCGCGCACAGTAGTTTGAAGGCTCGGCACTTCGTTTGCTAAAGCACCAGGCTTTGCAACTGCAAATGCGGCAGCTGGAATTAAAGGAGCTTGCGCGGCACACCCAGCATGAAGACCAGCAAATGTGAGAGGTCAGTTCAAGATGTCACATGAGGTTGCAAGTAAAATTGAAACGACGTCATGAGGAACAGGCGCTTTTTTCGTCGTCCTCACATGCGATGAAGTACGTGAGCACACAACACGCACATCAGCTTTTTTGGGGGTGTGAGTGCTGAGCTTCAGCAGGCCAAGGAAGTTGAAAAGGTCTTAGCCGCCAAGCAGCACCAGCTTGAACGGGAACGACAGCATGCCTTCCTGGAGGTGGGAGTTGCAGGTGATGCAGACCAGCTCTGGTGTTTTGTGATGGGGCAGGCTCGGGAGAGGGAACGCGGTGTGGATTTGCGGCGAGGCGGGCTGCAATAATTGCCTGGAACCTAGGGTCTTCAGGGTCTTTTCAGCGAAATACCTTGCCAACTGACGATGAACTGGCTTATGTCATAATATGATGCATTCAGAAGGGCTGCTGGGCAAGCCTGATTAGATTCTGGTCGGTGAAAAAGCTGTTTCATCATGTTTCATCAAATTGGCTATAGATAACTTGAGGTGGGCTGTGGCGAATCTGGCAACTAAGTCCCTCATAGTGTCCGACACCCCGTGGGCGTCTCTCTGAGAAATTGAATACAGGAAAAAGATGCTTACAGCTAGAAAAAGGCATTTTCAGTAAAACGGCTGGTGCCGCAGGTATTTCTTCTCCACGGGCCAAAGTTCAAGACACCCCAGTCGAATCTGCTGAGGACAGACATTGTCATTGATAGCATGTTTCGCGAAGAGCACCCTCACAGCCAGTTGCCGTCTTGTCTTCAGCTGTTAGACTTGCACCCTCATGTTTGTTCATGACATATCCGCCAGGTCCATATGTTAGCTCAGAACTGAAGTCTGTGTGCAGAGGGCCGCCCTTCGAGCGAGTCTACTATTCCGGCCAAACTGATTACCAGGAACCTGGCGATCCCTCTGCAGAAAATCTAGTCAGCTCCGCACATGAGAGCTTTGGCCAGCGTTCTATCTGCAAGTTGCTAGACTGCAGGAGCTCATTGAAGACAGCGCAGGATCCTCACCCAGGCGGACGGAGATTCGTGTCCGAGATGCCCGGGTGGTGGAACGAGAGACTCTCAGCGGCACGTTATTGTGAGTCCACAGCGTATGAGAATCGAGGAGGCTGCCATACACACCAAAGCCTGAGGCGGGAAAAAGCAGCGTACAAGGCATTGATGTTGGAGCAGGCTGAGCTCAGAGAAGTGGCCGCAAGGGAGGAGGCCAGGTGGCAGACGAAAGGGGGGTCTTCACAACGTTGCCATGTTCGTTGCGTTGTGCCGTCGCCCCCACTTGGCTGCAAGGATGTCAAGAGAGAACAGGCTGCTAGAAGGATTCAAGCCTTCCGGCGTGCCAGTCAGTGACTCCTCCTGCAATTTCGTGAAGTCACATTATTAATTAGTCAGCGGAGTGGTTTCTGTTCTTGGGGGGGGAGCCTTTCTGGGTGAAGTCTCACTGGCTCGCCAGGGTGCAGCGCCGCCGGGCCCACAAGGCTTGGGAGCGCAGGCAGGGTGAACAGGATGGACCTGAAGAGCAAGGCGGGGCAGGAGTTTTGATGAGGTAAGAAGAACGAAAAATACTAGTGGTAAAAAGGCAAAGATAGTGTAGGCACGATAACGCAGCAGCAATCGCAAACCTTGCGCTGTTTTTTCGGGCATCATAAATAATGTTGAACTCACCTTGCACCAGAGACTCTCTTTACAGTAATGTGTTGCGGGCGCTGCTCAAAGAGTTTCAGCCTATTGTTTGTGGACTCTCTTCATGTGTTTTGGTTTGGGGCCCCTAACCGAATGCAGACCATGGTGGGGTGTAGATCCTAAGGAGGGTCTCACACGAGCCAGAGGTATTACCATGACAGGACATATTTTACAGTGACAGGTTCTCATTTTACAACGATTTCTGAGCCTCTTCTCCACAATAGATCACAATAGGGCTTAATAGGGCTTGGGAGCCGTATATTTGGTGGCGGGAGCCGCATTTTTGGGCTGTTTAG